GGGTCCGTGGGTTTCAGGCTCCCTGTGGAAATCCAGGATGATTTCCTTTAGATGGGAAAAATTTCCTTGGGATCCTTTGCACACTCACCCCCCTTTGCACACTCACTCACGTGACCCCATCACGTGACCCTCCCTTGCACACTCACACACCTGACCCCTTTGCACACTCGCACACGTGACCTCAGTCACGTGTCCCTCTTTTGCACACTCACCCACGTGACCCCTTTGCACACGCACCTCACACCCGTCTCCCCTCGCGCCGCCGCTCCCGACCAATCAGAGCGCTGTTGCCAGGCAGATTTCAGCCCCTCCCGCCGCGCCGCATCCGGCCGCTCACCCCCAGCCGAGGGCGGGGCGGGGGGGGCCGGGCTCAGCCAATCAGAACCGCGGATTCCGCCGTATCCGGGCAGACCAGCGGCGCCGCAGCCAATCAGAAAAAAGAAGGGGCCGCGCGCGCGGCGAGCGAGGGGCGCGTCCACTTTCGGTTCGCGCGGGGGGCGCGGGGCACGTGGCGGGACCCTTCCCCTCCCCCCTCCCCCCACTTTTCGGGACCCCCCCCCGAGCAGGACGGGACCAGGTGGGTGCGGGGCTGATGGGGGGTGGGGGGGGTGGGGACAGAGTTGGGGACACCCCGGGGACACCGCGGGGGACGGGGGTCCCGTCCCCCGGTACCGGGCTGGGGCCGCCGGGGGCTCCGCGGGCCGCGGGCGAGGACGGCGGTGGCCACGGGGGTGGCTTCCGGTGGCCTCATAGCCCCGAGGGTGGCTTCCGGTGGCCTCATGGCCCCGGGGGTCGCTTCCTGGTGTCCCATGTCGCCGTGGCCCCGGGGGTCGCTTTTTGGTGGCCTCATGGCCACCAAGGTCACTTCCGGTGGCCCCGTGGCTCTGGAATCACTTCCTGGTGGCCCCTGGGCTCCTGACCCTGGAATCTCTTCCTGGTGGCCCTGTGGCCATGTGGGTCTGTTCTTGGTGTCGCCATGTCCCCCTGTCCTGGTGTTCCCATGTCCCTGGGACCCTTGTCCCTCTGTCCTGGTGTCCTGGAGTCCCCCTGTCCTGGTGTCCCCCCTTCCTGGTGTCCCCATGTCCCTCTGTCCCTGGGCATCCTGTCCTGGTGTCCCCATATCCCTGGGGACCCCTGTTTTGGTGTCCCCATGGTCCTGAGACCCTGTCCTGATGTCCCCCTGTCCTGGTGTCCCTTGTCCCCATGTCCTGATGTCCCCCTGTCCCTGTCCCCTGTCCACTTCCGTCTCCCACCCCTCCCCTGACTCCCATTCCCGATTTTAATTCAATTCACTTACAACCCCCCTTTTTTTTCTTTTTATTAAAATTTAACTTTTTAATTTTGAGTTCAGTATTTCCCTCGCCCAGCAGGCCATGGCAGAGGAGGAGCCGGGCTCCAGGAGTGGCAGGAGGGGCGCGGTGGCAGCTGGCGGTGCCCGGGGCGGTGCCCCCGAGCCCAGCACGCTGCTGCAGGAGCTGCGCGGCTCCATCTCGTAAGGAATGGCAATTCCTGCGGGAAAATCCGGGAATTTCCGCGGGAAAAACGGGAATTCTGATGGGAAACCTTGGGAATTCTTATGGGAATACCTAGAGATTCTTATGGGAAACCTTGGGGATTCTGATGGGAAAACCTGGGAATTCTTATGGAAAAGCCGGGGAATTCCTGCAGGAAAAATCGGGAAATTCTGCAGGAAAAGCTGGGAATGCTTTTGGGAAACCTTGGGAATTCTTATGGGAAAACCTGGGAATTCTTATGGGATTTTTGGGATCGATCCCGGGATTTTTTGGGATCAATCCTGGGATTTTTGGGATCGTCCCTGACCAGTTCCTGTGTCCCACGCAGCAAATCCGTGCAGAGCAAGGTGGATTCCATCCTGGTGAGTGTTTCCCTGGAATTCTGGGCTGGGAATTGGGGGCGGATCCCGATTTTTTGGGCGGATCCCTGACCCCGTCCCTGTCCCCGGAGCGCAGCAGGACGTGCAGAAATTCTCGGACAGCGACAAACTCTACCTGTACCTGCAGCTGCCCTCGGGACCCAGCCTGGGGGAGAAGAGGTGGGGATGGGATCCGGGAAAATGGGATCCAGGGAATGGGAATTGTATCCAGGGGATCCAGGGAATGGGATTGGGGTGGGATCAATGTGAATGGGATTGGATCCAGGGAATGGGACCCAGGGGATGGGATCTGTGGGATGGGATGGGATCCAGGGGATGGGATCCAGGGGATGGGATGGGATCCAGGGGATGGGATCCAGGGGATGGAATGGGACCCAGGGGATGGGATCTGTGGGATGGGATGATGGGATGGGATGGGATCCAGGGGATGGGATCCAGGGGATGGGATCCAGGGGATGGAGCTGGGCCAGGGGCGCCTCAGGATGGCTGTGTCACAGCAGAGCTGGCACAGAGATGCTGACAGGCCGTCCCCTGGTGCTGTCCCCTCTCTCTCCTGATGCCGTCCCCTGTCGCCGGTGCTGTCCCCTGTCCCCGTCCCTGTCCCGGCAGCAGCGGTGGCTCTCTGGAGCTCAGCTCCCTGGGCACAGCCGAGCACATGCACGCCTGCAGCTGGATCCGCAACCACCTGGAGGAGCACACGGACACCTGCCTGCCCAAGCAGGACGTGTACGACGCCTACAAGTGAGCCAGGCTGGCCCCTGTCCCCTTGTCCCTGTGTCCCATTCTCTGGAATACCCTGGGAACATCCCCGTGTCCCTTTTCCCGGAATTCCCGGGAATATCCCGGGATTTCCTCCTCCGGACACGCCCCCGTCCCTCCCCGCAGGCGCTACTGTGACAACCTCGGCTGCCGCCCGCTCAGCACGGCCAATTTCGGCAAAATCATCCGCGAAATCTTCCCCAACATCAAAGCCCGGCGCCTGGGAGGCCGAGGACAATCCAAATATCCTTCCCTTGATGCAATTCCTGCTGCTTTTCCCAGTTTTTCCCATTCCCCCCCCCTTTCCCCCCTTTTTTCCCTGTTTTTTCCCCCCAATTCCCCCTTTTCTTTTCCTGTTTGTTTTTTCCTGTTTTTTTCCCCATTTTTTCCCGCTTCCCCCCCTTTTTTCCCATTTTCCCCCAGTGTTTTCCACTTTTTTGCTTTTTTCCCATTTCTCCCCCCTTTTCCCCTTCCCCCCCATTTTCCTTATTTCTCCCCCAATTTTCCCCATTTTTTTCCCATTTTTCCCCATTTTCACCATTCCCGAAGGTTCCTCAGGGTTTCTTTCCCGGTTTTTTTTGGGATTAACCCTTGACTCCTCCCCACGTACTGCTATGGTGGGATCCGGAGGAAGACGGTGGTGAGCCTTCCTCCCCTGCCCAGCCTGGACCTCAAAGTCACCGAGACCGTGAGTGCTCCGTGTCCCCCTGTCCCCGTGTCCCCATGTCCTTTGTCCCCAGTCTGACAATGATGTCCCCTGTCCCCTGTCTGACATCTCTGTCCTGCTGTCCCCTCTCTCACGTCACTGCCCCTGTGTCCCCTGTGTCCCCGTGTCCCTGTGTCCCCGTGTCCCTGTGTCCCCTGTCCCTGTGTCCCCCTGTCCCTGTGTCCCTGTGTCCCCTGTCCCTGTGTCCGTGTGTCCCCCTGTCCCTTGTCCCTGTGTCCCCGTGTCCCTGTGTCCCCTGTCCCCTCCCTGCTGTGACCGGGCTGTCCGTGTGTCCCCAGCAGTCGGAGCTGGCCGAGCTGGTGCAGTCGTACAGCTCGGAGGTGATGGAGGCCGCCTGTGCCCTCACCTGTGACTGGGCCGAGAAGATTCTCAAGCGCTCCTTCAACAGCATCGTGGAGGTGGCGCAGTTCCTGCTGCAGCAGCACATCATCAGCTCGCGCTGCGCCCACGCCGACCTGCTCATGGCCATGGTGCTCTCAGGTCAGCACTGGGGACACTGGGGACACTGGGGACACTGCCACCACCCCTGGGGACACTGGGGACACTGTCACACCCCTGGGGACACTGCCACACCCCTGGGGACACTGCCATGCCCTTGGGGACACTGGGGACACTGCCACACCCCTGGGGACACTGCCATGCCCTTGGGGACACTGGGGATGCTGTCACCCGCTTGGGGACATTGTAACCTCCCTGTGGAGCTGACACTCCTCTGGGGGCACTCCCCCGTCCCCACCTCCAATGTCACACTTCCAGTGTCCCCTCCCCACTCCCAGTGTCCCCTCCCCACTCCCAGTGTCCCCTGCCCCCCGCTCACGCCCCCTCCTCCCACAGAAAACACGGACAAGCCCCCCCAGGACCCCCGCCCGCCCGCTGCCCCCAAAAAGAACGGCCTGGACCCCTCGGACAGCGGCGAGCGCAGCCAGGACCAGGTGAGACCCTCCTGACCCCCCCCCCCAGCTGTCCCCAAGCCGCGATGTCACCTCCCTTCCCGCAGGCCAAGAAGGACAATGTCCCCAAAGCCAATGTCCAGCCGCGGCCAGAGAAGAAGAAACCCCCGCAGGAGCCCCCCAGGCCGGCCAGTAGCCCCCAGGTGAACGCCTTGGTGGCCAGGTTGCCGCTCCTGCTGCCCCGCATCCCCCCCCCGGAGCGGCCCGCGGTGGCCCCCGGTGCCACCCCCGTGCGTTCGTCCCCTCCCGTGCTCGTCCCCAAGCTGACGGCGGCTCCTCTGGGCGGTGGCACGGTGAAGGTGGCGCTGCCCCTGCCCGTGGGCACGGCGCTCGCCCCCGGGGCCAGCGGGGCCATCCCCGTGCTCAATGTCTTGTTGCCCGGGGTCGGGGTGGCCGCGGCGGAGAGCCCGGGTGGCAGCGCCAGGTCGGGAGGGGACAGCGAGGGGGGACAGCGAGGCAAAGCCACCAAGCGGCCCCTGGAGGGAGGAGGAGGAGGAGGAGGAGGAGGAGGGGACACGGCGGCGCTCAAGAGGAGGAGGGGGAGGCCCCGGAAGAGGGGAGGGGACACGGCGGGGTCACCCGAGGACGCGGAGGTCCCCAAGGGGGACGAGGGAGGGGACTCGCCCCCAGGGGCGTCACCCGGGGGTGGCAGTGCCACTGTGGCCGCTGGGGACAGGGGTGGCGGTGCTGAGGAGGAGGAGGGTGGGGACGGCATGGAGGGCGATGATGACGCCGTGGGCGGTGGGGACAGCCCGGGTGGTGGCGGTGTCACTGTCACGGCCGAGGACAGTGTGGGGGGTGGCAGTGTCACTGTCACACTTGGGGACAGCTCGGTCAATGGTAGTGTCGCTGCCATTAACAATGTCCCCGTGCTGCTTGGGGACAGTCCAGTCAATGGCAGTGCCACTGTCACACTTGGGGACAGCTCGGTTAATGGCAGTGCCACTGTCCCCCCTAGGGACAGTCCAGTCAATGGCAGTGCCACCGTCCCACCTGGGGACAGCTCAGCTGGGAGCAATGGCACTGTCCCCCTCGGGGCCAGTGTGGTCGGTGGCAATGCCACTGTCACAGCTGGGGACAGCTCGGTTAATGGCAGTGCCACTGTCCCCCTTGGGGACAGCCCCGTCAATGGCAGTGCCACTGTCCCCCTTGGGGACAGCTTGGTCAATGGCATTGCCACCATCCACCTTGGGGACAGCCCAGTCAGTGGCAGTGCCACTGTCCCTGCTGGTGGCTCCCCTGGTGGTGGCAGTGCCACTGTCCCTGTCAAGGACAGCTCATCCATGTCCAGTGACACTGGGGACAGGCCGGGCAGTGGCAGTGCCACCACTGGGGACAGGCCTGTCACCAGGAGTGCCACCATTCCCATCAGGGACAGCCCAGCTGGTGGCAGTGCCACCGTCCCTGTCAGGGACAGCTCATCCCAGGCCAGTGGCATTACTGGGGACAGGCCTGTCACCAGGAGTGCCACTGTCCCCACAGCTGGTGGCAGTGCCACCATCCCTGCCAAGGACAGCTCCTCCCAGGGCAGTGCCACCACTCAGGACAGGCCTGTCACCAGGAGTGCCACCATTCCCACCAAGGACAGCCCAGCTGGTGGCAGTGCCACCATCCCCATGAGGGACAGCTCATCCCAAGGCAGTGCCACCGCTGGGGACAGGCCTGTCACCAGAAGTGCCACTGTCCTCGGTAAGGACAGCTCATCCGGGGGCAGTGGCACTGGGGACAAGCCAGTCAGTGTCATTGTCCCTGTCAGGGACAGCCCCTCCAGGGCCAGTGGCACTATTGGGGACAGGCCTGTCACCAGGAGTGCCACTGTCCCCATCAGGGACAGCCCGGCTGGTGGCAGTGGCACTGTCCCTGTCA